ACCGTAAATCTTTAAATCCTTCCAAAGCAGAGAAGGAGACAGGAAAACAAACAGAAAACAAGCAAATAAAAAAGACAGCATACTGTGGTTAAGAGTTAAAAAACTACAAGCCCATCCTCTAAGGCAAGAGTTCTATTTTTGTCTCCTTCAAACTTTCAGTGTCATCTTAGCCATCTTGCAACATCCCTGTACCTCAATTTTCTCAGCTGTAAAATGGAAAACATAATTTGAAACCACATAGCCCCACAGTGCACTGGAAATATGAATGCATTAGTACCTGTAAAGTATTTGGAAGATATTATTGAGTTGAAGGTTTATTTCAGAAAGCAGAAAAATTATTTCACAATTTTCCTATAAACCTATCTTTGCTAATTCTCTCTCTTGTTTTTAATACACTTTTCTTCTGTTGTAGATAAAGGATGTCAGATACTAATTCCATTTAAATGACTATCTCCTGCATATCAGTCCTAATCCTTCAATGAATTATTATAGCTCAGAAAATAATGTTACAAAGCAGAATCACAACAACTGGGGTAGCTTTACTTCAAGCTTACTACTCAGTCATTACAATGACCTTACGTTTAAGTTATCCTGTGTTTCAGAGAAAAAAGGAAAAAAAAAAGTAAGAACCCTCAGACCATGGGACCAAAGAACCCAGAAAGGCTTTCAAAATTAAGTATGGGTTCAGCATCTCTGGGAAAGAACTTCTGCCAGCCTTTGTGAATAATTTTTCCAACTCTGTGCGATCTGAAAGGATTCTCTTCCTCCCATCACAGCCCACTGGGATGCCCCCTGTATGAGCCATGACTAGGTTTATCCTACCAGAAAGCTTAATCTGAGTCATTACCTGTTTTTTCTCCTGGAGGCAGACACAGCCCGGAGCTTTCCCGAGAGCACTAAAGAGGCGCCGGCCCACTGCCTCCCAAAATGACAGACCTTTCCCATGTCGGGGTGCACTGCAGGTTCAGCCCCGTAGGGAGAGCGTGCGCCAGCATCGGGGTGATGCCTGACCCTCCTGCACGACCCAGCTCTGCTTCTGCAGGGAGCGGCGCGGGCAGAGGTCCTCCGGCCGTGGGGAGGATGCTGTCCGCCCCTGGTCCCGGCTCGGGACAGGGTGTAGCGCTCTGAACACCACAGCAAGACGCTTTACGGACCTTGGTGGGTAAAAGCACTGTATGTCACAGGCTGGAGCAATAAATAGCAACAGCCTCGGGGCTGGCTGGCAGTTTGGGATGTGCTTGCAGCTCGTACCTAAAGCTTCTCTGGCCGCCTGGAGAATTATGAATCCTAAAGACCTGACATTTTAATTTGTGTATTTTAATGAACTTAGCTGCGCTTCCTTTTAACCTCTAAAGCTCTTCCCTGCAAATATTTATTCCTCCCTTTCCCTAGCTCCCCCTTGATTTCAGGGGGAATGAAGAGCCCGATCCCTTTAACAGGGATCCTCCTATTGATTTTGGTTCCAAAGTCCTTAGGCTTTGCCTCTATGATTTCAGTTCTGTTTTAAAGGTTTAGGCAACCTTAAGAGCAATCTCAGCTATTTTAAACTATGTTAATTTGATCATATTAATCTAGAGTTGCAGACTCAGAATGCAACATCCACAGTCAAAGATGACTCAAACTACTCAATCCTTCCTGGATTTTTTTTTTCCTTTTTTTTTTAATTGGAAAACAAACCATTTCACAATCTTCTATATTACCTTTTTGGCAGTTGAGAATTATCCAACCAGATGTTCAAGACTTTCAAAGTTGGACAACCAACTGGAGAGTTGGATGACCAAACCTATTCCAGTGGGGAACCTAAATTGGTTAGACTCATTGTTTATATCGGGATTTTCTGCTCTTAGGTCACAAACGGTCTGTTAGGGAACTATGAATGAAGGTACATGCTGGCCTTGAGACAAAACCACCCACATTAAGTAAATTTAAATCAGTGCTTCCTCCAGGAAGCAAAGTGTTGTATTACTTACAAGCAGATTTGATTACGGTTTACAGAATTGTTTAAACCCATTTAGCAGATCAAAAGAAAACAGATTTAAACTGATGTACTCATTGTTTTAACAAACACTAGTTGTTATCTGATGCAAAGATCAACATGCTTGATGACTCCCATGCAAGGGTTTAGTGAAAACATGGGCCATAGTAAAGATGGAAACATCAGATCTCACCATTTTCTCAAAATATCTTCAGGTTTTAGATTTTAAATTGAGGCTAAAAATAGTCTTATCCTAACATTTCTGAAACAAAATCAAGTTCATGAAAACAATACCATGAATCAGCTTCTCAATACCACGTTGGCCTCTCTTCAAGGCCATGAAAATACCCATTAATCTCACCGTCAAGAACACACCTAAAGCCCTTTCCAAAAAATCACACCATCAAAGATGTCCTTACGCGTATTTGTCTACTATAGCATCCAGTAAACATGCAGATTCATACAGCAGCATGCAAACAGCCTAGCAAAGACAGGGTCAAGACAAAGAATATCCTCAAAGCAATTCCAATAACCGCTCTAGATTATTCTGTTTGTGAGAAGTGTTCTAGCTGGAAAGCAGGACTGAGATTAGCTCAGAAGTTGTTGTCGATCTGACAAAAGCCAAAGGAACCTGCAAACTGCAAGGAGGAAGCTGCTGGATGAAAAAAAAACCAAAAACCATGGAGCAGAAGGATCATGTTAAGAATCAGTTGGATCTCCTTTATTTTCCAGAAACAATTATTTTACCTTTAATTTCAAAGGGGCTTTGGGGAAAAGGTTGAAGGAAATATAGTTCATTTTAGCAAAGCACATATTGCACAAAATAAATTTAAAAATCTATTTTTGGGCTAGAATGGTTGAAGAAATCCCTGATTAGCCTCTTAATGGGGTGAGTCCAATTTAGAGAGAATGATCACCAGAGGGAGTCATTGACTTTTCCATTAAAGTCAAAGGGAATTTTACATACATCAGGAGTGCAAAATTTGGGGGCAGAGCTGAGAAAGACTCCAAACAGATTGGAGTTCAGGGACTAAAGCAAAACCCACTGTTTTACAGATTTCATCTGAATCCATTTTCCCCTTTGGAGTTCCAAAGGATGACTACTACATTCCATGGTGAAACTTAGGCAGAAGGCGCTGAAGTCATTCATTCAGTGGGTACCCACTCCCACAAAAAAACAAAACAAAACAAAAAACAAAACAACCCCCCCCCAAAAAAAAACCCCAAAACCCCAAAAAACCAAAACAACAAAAAAAATCCCAGCACTTAATTGGTTTTATAGTGGTTTGGAGTGGTGTAAGTGCCAACTGCTCAGTTCTCTCTTTGGATATGCAACATATCACAGTCCTTCTGGAAAAGCAATTTTTAACAGCCTAAAGAAAATCTGCAGGTACCATCTATGAGAGTGTGTCATACCTCTTGGGAGTATCAGGATTTCAAACAGGAAAAGTGAAAAGGAGACAGGAAGAATTGCTAGTGTGGTTTTTTTTGTCTTTTTTTTTTTCTTCTCTTTCTTCCTTCAGTGTTAGTGACGAAGAGAGGCAGTGGGAATAGGGATTTGTGAACCAAGTGATAAAATAAACTCAGTAGATGAACCAGTCTACTCAGCCATGAGCAAGCTGGCATTTCATGCTCAGACATCTAAATTTCATGACCTTCAACGAAATAGTTTCACATTAGGAACTGGGCTTTTTCTTTCTGGACTTCGGCTCAACCTTGTTCTTGCCACAAAAGCCCAGCAGACTGGTTTGAAAACAAGCTCATTCACTAGGCAACTTTCCCCTTAATTCTGTACAATAAAATTATCCAGCAGAAAATTAGGAGATTAAAAAAAGTCAAGGAAACAGCCCCACCCAAACAAATGCAATTTCACTTCCCTAGAAATGTCCGTGGAACAAATGGAATTCAATTTGTTTCTGTGTTCCCAGGTAACAGCAGCACCTTGTTTTGCTTGTTTATTTAATTACTTCTTCTTGTTCATGCAATTAGCTGAGAGACTGCAGCCTTTTGTTCATTATGTTAACCATAACAGGGTTATTTGCATAGCTTTTCCCATTTTGAGGCTGAATTTTGGGTAGAGGCTCTATTTCGGGCTGTGGCAGGCAGAGAACCACTGGGAAGCCTCGCGCGGGGTGGCATGCAGCAACCCGCTCCTTCGCAGAGAGTGGCTCCGGGAACAGCACCGGCTGCCCATCTGCTTCTCATGGCAAACCAAAGCTCTGCCTCCAACATGCGCTATAAAGCACCACACGGCTTAAGACCTGGCTGTCTTTCATCCTATGCACTACCAAAAAACAGCCGAGTTCATCCCAAGGCGTTTTTGCCGACTGGCTGTCAAAGCTTAACTTTACTGCCATTTAGAATGGTACAAGGCATCGCTCTGGTCGATGTATGCTAGACTTAAAATTATCAGGACCCATACTGTGGCTGGGTGAAGGAATTTAGAGATAGAGACTACTTTAGGCTTTCTTTCGTGAACAGTTAGATTTAACATCCAGTCGAGACTAGTGCTGTTGTGATGCTCAAGTAAGTTGTTGCACAGTTAAATCTTCTTTTTAAACACTCAAGATGCATCCCCAGATCACAAGGTTTAGTAGAATGGTGACCCTCTCCGTTAATAAATGCGACAATTACCACCTCCCAAGTCCTCCGAGTTTCTGGCAGTGAACTGATGTAAGCTTATTTTTATCTAGGTTGCTCAGAAATTGAGGAATCTGCACCTTCTTACAAAAACAAGAGGCAGAGTCAGTGCCAGTGGGAGCCTGCATGCTCTGGTGGGCGGGAGGCACCTTCATCTCAGCCTCCAGGCACCTGAACACCCCCAAAACTCTATCTCTCAGGAGAAACGGCACACCAACTTACACTATTTGAAATATAGAGAACTGGAACAGACACCTTGGAAAAAATTGTCAGTCTCGTAGTTTGCAATTCAGCCTTCATACATGACCCACAGCCATGGTTAGGGTTAGTTCTGTAACCAATAGCAGCAAGGTGCAGCCTTTTAATGACATCGTTTTGACCCTACCTGTGCCATCTGCCTCTCCAGCTTTGACCGGGGAATATCATCAAAGTAGTTTTCATTTCTTCTTCTCCTTGCATCGCCCTGCATGATAATGTGGGGAACGTCCAGGGAGCCACCAGTAGTGAAAGTGCTTTGGCTAAGTGATGGAGACAACTGAGGAGGAGTGTGGTTACCACTGGGTTCCTGGACAGGGAGGAAAAAAATACAGCATAGTAAAAATAGCATGTTGCTGACTTCAAACCACACGTTTAAAAGCGTATCTGAATTACTCGTACTTAAAAAATACGGAACAATTCCTGAAATAGAGATTACTGAGGATGAACTTTTGAGATTTGCTACCTAAGGTGCAGAGCCCACGTGGAAGGAAAACCAATTCACTATTTACATGAACTAGTGGCGAATTCCCTCTCCAAAACCTCCTTGTGTAATACATACTCTCCTTTAGGACTGCTAGAGAGATAAAACAGTGAGTTACTTCTTGTCAAGGCCCAAATAAAGACATGATTTAGGACTAGCTATTTGTAGGATGAAATACATTCTCACCACTTCTGAGCAGCCACTCTGAGCAGTGAAAGTGATTTGAAAGTGATGTGAACTCTAGCAACATCTCTTGCTGGAAAAAAGAAATGCACGAACATTTACAAAATATAGACACTTTGCAATTTTTATAGGTCTTGCAGAATATCCATTTAACTTGAAGTACGGGATATCAGAAACAAGCTAAATAAAAATTCCTAGAATGTATGAAAGCATCAGAGCACAAATATTTTACCAGGCTTTTCCTGTAATCTGGGCTGAACTGTGACCTTGTATCAGTCAGTGTGCAAATACCACAGCGAATTGATACGGAACTCTATCTAATAAACAGCTAAACATGTCCTCCTGATCATACATTTTACCAGGATCCCGTGACCACGCCACTCACAGACAGCCACTGTAGGTATGTTTGGAAACACTTATTCTCATGCACATCACATAGAATGGTTTAGGTTGGAAAGGACCTTGAAGATCATCAAGTTCCAACCCCCCTGCCATAGACAGGGACACCTCCCACTAGACCAGGTTGCCCAAGGCCACGTCCAGCCTGGCCTTGAACACCTCCAGGGATGGGGCCTCAACAACCCCTCTGGGCAACCTGTTCCAGAGCCTTACAACCCTCAAAGTGAAAAACTTCTTCCTAATGTTTAATCTAAACCTGCCCTCCTCCAGTTTATATCCATTCCACCTCGTCCTGTCACTACATGCCCTAGTAAAAAGTCCTTCCCCAGCTCTCCTGTAGGCCCCCTTTAGGTACTGGAAGGCCGCAATAAGATCTCCCCAGAGCCTTCTCTTCTCCAGGCTGAACAGCCCCAACTCTCTCAGCCTCTCCTCATAGGAGAGGTGCTCCAGCCCTCGGATCATCCTCGTGGCTCTCCTCTGGACACACTCCAGCAGGTCCATGTCTTTCTTATGTTGAGGACTCCAGAGCTGCATGCAGTACTCCTGGTGGGGTCTCACGAGAGTGGAGTAGAAGGGCAGAATCACCTCCCTTGACCTGCTGGCCACACTTCTTTTGATGCAGCCCAGGATACAGTTGGCCTTCTGGGCTTGTTCAAACCCCATTTGCAAACATCGGTGCCCAGCTCCACCGTTCAACGCTCTCTTGGAGACTGCAACCAGCAAGAGCAGAGCTGCAGTGCACTGGGCAACCAGTCTGCACACATACCACCCCAGGGCGGACTGTAAAACACCCCCATAGCAGTGGGATGGGGAAACATGTTCCTCTCTCGTGATGTAGGTTACTAGGCTCAACTTATCTGACACTAGAGATTTCTCTGATAGTAAGTTCTACAGAGGCAGAATGTACCCAGGAGTGTGTTTGCACAGTGCAGACCTTCTCTAAATCACCTATTGCTGTAATACTATATTTCAATACTGAACAAGGAGAAGGGACCTGAAATTATTAGAGGAAGCAAAGACCTGCTCTGGTGGGCATGGTGGGTAAAACGCCCTACCTTTTTATTTAAAGAAAGAATTAAAGTGGATAGTTCGTGCATGATTACATTGAAGCAAACCTAATTCTGAAAAGCATCAAGGTACTTTATTCCATGCTGTTAAGAAAAGAGATATCTTGTAAGAAATCAGAGAGCTGTAATCTCTTCCAAATGGAAAGGAAAGTTGCAATTCTCTGTATGCGTTCAAGTGATAGTAGCATCTGATGTTAATATTTGAAGTGTAGGAGTCTATGTGACATTATTCCTTGCCATCACAGTAATGGATTAGTATTTTTCATGTTGGTTGACTAAAATCAGGGATATACAGTTGTTTAACAACTTTTAATTAACTGGGATTTTTTTTTTTTTTAAATTTTCTAGCTTTTCTCTGAGACAAGCACTTGACATTTCCCAGGGCAAAGAAAGGAATGTTTTCCTCTTAGGAATAGTCTTTTTCCCTCCTTCACAAAAATCCACCTACATTTGGCCCAGTTAAAAGCTTCTGCAAAGCTGTAGTCTGCACAGGCTCACAAGGTTTGGTGAGGCATAATCTCTAAAACCTACCCTCCACAGGCCCAACCCTGACTACACGGTGCAGACATCTCTGCCCTGAAAATAACCTGAGTAGAGGGGCACTAAACGAGATCCTTCCTAACGACTGCTATGTGCCGCTCCAGCCAGGTAGGTAACCTCTCTCTGCTCCGAATCACGATTCACCCCCTGTTCAGTAGACTGATAGGGCCATCAGCACATCAAAGTGACAGATGACCGTGCCACGGACATATGGATTCCAGCTCTCATCAAGTTTTTCATATTTTATCAAACTGCGTATAAAGAGAAGATTCGCTCAGAAATCTATATCGGAAGATTGCTGGCAAGGCAATAGAGACAGAAATTACAATGTCAAGAAATAAAAGTATTACGGTGCCTCTGCATTATGGAACAGGGTTTGATTGTATGATTTTATGCTATTTTCTAAACGTCGTCCTTCACAGCACAGATGGATCCTCAACTGTGCAGCATGTTGTCATATACTCAGCACTGCGTTATCATTAGTTATCATGTAGTCAGTATTTTATTCTCACCTCGTTTCATGGCCCTGAACCCCTTCCCTAAACTCTATTCAAATCCTGCTCTGAAGATAGGATGACTAATATCGTCATTTTCATGACGCTAATAAGTGCTTTACAAATGTCAATCAATTTATTTTCACCACACCCTGTGACTTCTGGCATTTTATAATCACCACTTTAGTGTGGGGGACCTGAGACACACAGACAAAGGTTAAAAAATATCAGTCACTTCGGATGCCCAATTAAAATATCTATTGCCTGCTTTTCCAAGTGCTTGTATTCAAAACTCCACTTTTACTGATCTAATTTGCAGCGCTGTGTGCTCAGCACTTGTATAAATCAGACTCCAGACTCCAGTCAAATATGCACAATGTCGGTAACATACAATTAGTGACTGTTTATGAGGCAATTACCTAAATAAGTTACCAAGCTTTATCCAAGGGCTTTGTGGCAAAAGCGAGTGTAAATTTGTATTTTCACGGCTACAGCTATTCCTTTAATCATGAGTCTCTCTCCCATTCTTCCCTCATTCCTCTTCCTCACTCCATACCCACTTTCCCATCTCCTTAACAAACCTGCAGACCAGGCACAGACGCCCGTGCAGGTGCGATCACGTACTCAGTACCGCGTTACCGTTAGTCACACAGTTCATATCGTGTCACCACCCTGTTGTGCAGGCATGGACACATGCCCTGCAGGGATGCCTCATCATGTATTTGACTATCAAATTCTGCTTCATCCCCACCTCTCAGTCCTGCCGGTCACATAATGCTGGAACCACACAGGTCAGGGTTGGAAAGGAGTTTAAGTGATCCTTCCCCAGGCTGCCCAGGTGCACCTCATGCCCCACAGATGTTTGTCTAACCGGTTCCTAAAACCAGGAATCCTCCCCAGTGAATTCATTCTCCTCTTAAACTATCATTACTATTATAATGTTGCTTCTTCAAATTTTCAGTCTAAATTGTCATTCCTTCAGATTAAATTCAACCTCCCGGTGCCAGCCAGCTGATGATGGGGTTCCATGAATAACATGGATGCTGGTCCTGTAATTAAAAACTATAACGCATTCAAGAGAGGAAAGCCAGATTGCATAGATAACCTGAGATCCAGCATTTTCTAGCTTTCGAGTATATGACTTTGAAATCAAATTAACTTTTCCTTACTACACGGTTATTGTGGCAATATTAAATTTTGTGGATATTTTTATGTTTGTTGATTTTCCTCAATATTTGACCGTTTTTTACTTCGAAGTATTTTAAAAGCTAATACAAAGAGAGCTGAAAAAGGTGAAGTGTTAGCCATGCTTAGGTTGACCTTGGGACCTTAAAGGTAGAGTCTCTATACTATCTTTTCTTAAAGATGTAAATTGATCTTCCAGTAGCCACAGATACTTTATGTAAAACAACTTTGAAATGAAAAATTATTGCAAACTGCAGCCTAAATACTATGTCCTTGTTTCATGTGAAATGGCATAGTAGCAGTTGATAGGAAAGAAAACCTTAATCTAAACTCACGTCCTCCTCTTTAGGATTCTCAGTGAAGGCTTCAATACCACGAGGTGATGAATGACATTTAGCGCTTGCCCGCATCAGTAGCTCTAGCTGTGGAGCAGCAGACTACTTTTTATCATTTTGACTACAGATGGAGGACATCCAGTTTTCTCTTGACTGTTAACTGAGAATAGACAGTCCGAACCAATAACACGGGATGTGGAAGCTTTCCCATCTGCTGAAGAGGAACTAATTCCCCAGTCCAGAGCACTGAAAGTATTGAGCAAAAATGTGCAACTTTCAAATGATTCCTCTTTCCTGGGAGTGTTTTAACACCTGACATGCATCAGGAATCATTCACACAATACATAAAAAATAAAAGACAAGAAAAATATCCACACATTTGTGCAATGTGCCTTAGAGCAGGATGTTATAGACTTGTGAGACTTTTTTCAACATGCCATTAGGAATAGGTTGAATTTGGGGGGGAATCTAAAATGTCTGTATGTGGCATCTGAGAATAAGCAAGGTGAAAACAGGCTGGTCACAGAAATTGTAAGTGTATGTAAAAATAAGCCCTCATTCTGTCTTTCTCTATTTCTCTTTACACCAGGAAATTTAACTTGGGAGTACAGACACCCTCTGACATTTGAAAATTTAGTCCCAAATGAGATTCGAGTCAGAAATGCAGCCCCATGAAAATAATCAGATCCAATCAAATGCAAAAGGTGTGACCTAAAATATCAAAATAAAAAGTGTTGATATGAACTCCCTTGGAGTAGGAAAGGGTCATCAGACCACAGCTCGATAAGGGTAACAGACAGCAAGGAAGCAAAGGCATTGGATGGGAGAAACCCAGTGAAGGTGGCGTAACCACAGGAGATTAAATCTGGCCAAGTGTGGAAAAACCCCAGGGACATTGCAACAGGGTTTCTAAAAGAGGGAATACAAATGAAAATTAAAAACACAATTAAACTTTTGACATACAGAAACATCTTAATGGCATTTTTATCTCAACAACGCCGAGAGGCTCTCTTTAAAGAAAGCATAAATTATATGCCTGAAAAGTAAGTGAAAGCGTTTTCAAAACATGAAAGGAAATGGTAGCTCTCCTTCCACAATATCGATGGGCTGCGCTGGGATTCCTGTGGGCAAATGTAGCTGTGCAGCTCATACGCACCTGCTCCTGAGCCAGCTTCTTGAGCAAAGAAGATAAGCTGGTACTTCTAAGACACTACTTATCCTAAGGTAGACATCTGAAACAGGTCAGATGAATCACCCTGTAAAAACGTCAACTTACCTCCGCTGGCTCTGGAGGTGCGACTGAGCATGTCAGCTTAAAACATCTACACTGTGAACTTCTGAAGTGAGGTAAGTTGAAGCCCACTCAAAGTTGAAGCCCACTCAAAGAGGTCCTTGTTTTCATGCGAACACTACCAAATGCTTGCTGGCTTTTTGAGAAACGCAAACAAATTTTTACGGGGACTCACCCTGAGGGTTATTGACCGAGGTGGTTTCTGAGGAGGATCTTCGTGAAGCCTGTCTCCCAAAGATGCCAGAACACGCTTCCGGTGGCCAATCAAGCTAATTTTTAAGACCTGAAATAATAATAAAAATACCTCGGGTCATTAAAAAGAAAACATTGCAATCATGAAATGAAGATCCATCCAGAGCGAAGCCATATTCTCTTTAAACCTTTTACCAAGTTAGTCCACTACACAGGCTAAGCAGACAGACAGCAGTGGGAGGCAAACAACGAACAGAGAAAATGAGAGGTGAGAGCAAACACAGGAAAAACCCTCTAAAATGAAGGAAGAAACTAATGCAGGTATACATGTGGAAAACTGGGAAAAAAAAAAGGCTCAAACATAAGTAAGGAGGAAAGGAAAATGAAACCAGAAGAGAAGGCAGCAGAGTGGGAGGGAAAACAAGGGAAGGCGAGGAAGAAACTGGAGAAGGAAATGTAGAGGTGCAGGAAAACAGTGAGCGATGAGGATTAAAGGGGTTCATGGGAATGGGAGGCACGGGGAAGAGACGGAGGAACAGCCAGTGAATGCTTAGAGAGAGCAGGAAGGGAGAAAAGGAACCGCACAATGAATAAATGTTACCACTTTTAAATTTATTCACCATGCCTTTCACGGGTAATCTTTGAACAACACATACAGTTTGCATTATCATGTAAAACCATCCTGGCATAAGAAACACAGCATGGACAAATTTTGTCCTGGAGGTCTATTACTTTCATCAGATGAAATGAAAAAAAATATCTCTGTTGCACACAAATGTGACTATCAGTGGATAGGTTCGAATACCTTGTGCTTCTCCAAACTCCAAGAATGCTGCCAAAAAGGCGTTCCAAACTTACTGCAACTACTCCCCACTCGTATTTCTCTGTGTCCCTGCCACATACAAACCCACCACTGCTCTCAGGAAAACAGATAGGGCAGAACCAACAAGCTGGAGACTTAAGCATTACTGGACCAAAAAAAAAAAAAAAAATAAAAATCAATCATATTTCGATGCTGTTCTTTAATGACTACAAATGGCTTCAAAGTGTAAAGCAGCCCTAATTGTAGAAGCAAGCCTCTGCTCTGCGAACAGCAGTGTCCTCACGTAACTCTTCCAGACTGTATATATGGTTTCATACACCAGAGCTGCCTCCATTGCCTCTCAGAAGACAGTTCTTCCCACTATATTTAGGACCGCTGTGTTTCAACACCGTTCAGTCGCTAGGAATCTCTCACTCAACCTAGAAAAAGTAATAGTCCCCAAAAAACCCTGAAAATGCTACCTCCGTGAATAACTACCTCAGTTTAAGCAGTACCCCCTAAGAGCTGCCATTCAGGAGAACAAACAAACAAAACCCAAACCTCAGCAACTCCCCTACGACATCTCTTAGATCCATGGGTACGGTACAGCAACACACCATCATTATTCTGCTGGGGGAACTCCTGCCTATCCATGGGCACGTGCATTCTTCCACGCTTCCTCTGTTGGATGTCTCTGTGCTACCCGTTACAGTTGAACCTCCAGAACACCTTGTTTGCCCGCATCTACAAAGCCATGGGCTAGGAGATGAAACAGACCAAGATATTCCTCCAAGAGGCAGCTTACAAGGTCATTGCAGACCCCTCAGCTCAACAGCAGACCCAAGCTGCAGAATCCCATCAGCCTTCTACGTGGTCTCCTGTTATCCTAAATCTGGAGAAGCATGAGTGAAGCTGAGACAGCGCAGCACACAAAAACGCCGGAAGCAGGCAGGAGACTTACTTATGTATTCCGTTTACGTTGAATGTTAAACAGAAGGGTGCACTGTTTACCTCCGTATTTAACTATATGAAACAGGTGAATGAACTACAGCTGCTTTAAGCATTACTCAGGTAATGCACTTCAGTGGACTTGCTTCTTTCATAATGCTTCCCCATCATCAAGAGCATTTACCCAGAGATTTTTACGTCAAGCTACAGTTCTTGGGTTATTCTGAGGTCCTCAGCATGCTGACTGCCTTATTAGCGGTATCAAACCACACAAAGTAATTCTCTTTGACTTCACGGAGCTGTTGAATGACAGGAGAGAAACGGACACGAGTCTTGAGGGACTTCACACGGAAGACATCAGCAAACAGGTCTAAATGGTTATATTATTTCAAAAACTGCTCAATTTGAAAGCGGTACAGATCTGTAAACACTGTAAGTGCTGCTACGCTTATTCCACATTTTGTTTTTCCATTAAAATGGTGATCACCCCAACTCTGAAGTGGTTGGGATTTAAAGATGCAACCTACAGAAACATATGGTCCCCAGCCAATAGGCAGCTGCAGCTCAGTCTCATCTGGACCACATACTCTGTTAACTGAAGACGGCTGTATTCTTCTGGAAATAGACTCCCTAGTAATGTTCTTATCTGGAAAACCCATTACTCAACTTACAAATATAAAATACTGTTTTCTGAAACACTTCTATATTTGAGTTATCAGAGTTTAACAAACACCTTGAAACTCTGAAAACTTGTTCTGTGATGAATTATCCTTGATAGTATTTATCAAAAATGTTAAGTATCACAAATACAGGTCAACGGTGTGTAATGGTAAAATTGCCTAAAGTGGTATCTTAGAAATATTTTTATGTTGTGTGTGTCAAACAATCTTTAAAAGTCTTGCCCAGTTATTTAGCCCACAAGTTAGTCCCCCATGAGTATTTGCTATATACCAGGTAACAGTGAACACAGTAACAGTGAACTATAGGGACAGTCAATACAATGCACCTCAGTGCTACGCAGTGAAACATTTTGTCAAATGGATTGTACCCTACATAATATACAACAACAAAATGAGCTTTGCAGTGTGGCTGCAGGAATCGGCTACAACACGTCATGAAACTGGTCAGATTAGCTTAAGGCCCTCCACAGCCCTTTATTCTGTTACTGGGGCCAAAAAAAAAAGTATGTTCCTGACATGCCTCCTTCCACACTGACAGCAGGATACCAGGGATAAAATAATGCAACTCCATCTCATATATTTGCTTATATTTGATGTTGTAATACAATAAAAGGAGAACGGGGCGAGTCATGTGACCAAAGAAATGATACATGCACACAAATTTAATCCTATTTTTACCACCATATTCTCCAACGATTAGCATACAAAATGAAATTCCACTAGGAAATGTAAGAAATCCACAAATGTAACCAATGCAATACTTTGCATTTAGATTTCTGACTTAGTTGACAGATGTTTTGAAAAACAAACACATGTAGCCCAGTAACTCCCTGATGACTGTGTATGTGCAGATGCTGGAATTAACAAGTTATTCCATCTAAAACTGAGCATTATTTCTGCAGCATTCTTCTGCCTGATCTTTTCTCCTGACTGAATAATATGATCCGATACTTTAATTTTTTGACTATTCTACATTTTTAAAAATGGATATCATAAAGATTACTGAAATTCAAGACATCAATTCCCTTTCTTTGGGAATAATTTGAAAAGTTACTGTATGGGGTAAAATTAGTACCACAATGGCATATGTGGTCTGGACTAGACATGTAGCAGCAATCAGACACTAGGAACTAGTTACAAAGTGGAAAACAAGAGAGTGATCAGAATTGCACTACTGATTCTCTACTGGCAGCATCAGACACTTCAGAATTTAAGAAGAAAAAATGGTAAATACAAGCCAACAAGGTGTGATCTTCCTATTTCTGCAAGTTAACAGCCCAAAACGCTAGCTAAATTAAACTTTATTAACCATTTTACTGCTGGTCATATTGGAATAAACTCCAGGCTATCCTGGAATCACGGGTAAATAATACATTGATTATTACCACCTTCCTGCCACAAGGCCACCCCACAGGGCTAATCCTAAAATGTGGCAGTGCCCAGAACACCCAGGAAGCGAGCCCAGACTAACCAGTACAGCTCACCTGATCATCCTGACTGAAAATTTGAGAATGGATAAAATACACTTGCTATATAAATTCCCAGCATGGACAACTGTTCAAAATGTTACAAATCCTATCCATAGAACTGCTGTCAGTGATTGCAGTTACAACAACAACAACAACAAAAGTTAAAAAAAAGGGAAAAAAAAGCCATACATCACATACGGACCAAGATTACGTGGCATAATAATTGGCATATTTTGAAAGATAAATATGCCTGAGTCCACTACGATATTGAACGCCTGGTGGCTTACCAATACCAATCACAGCTAAATCCAGTCCAAACCATACCAAACTTCTGTTGAATTTTTCACGTAAGGATACTTTATGCTCTTTCTCACCCTGACTGCAACTGCTGATTCTTTGCAACCCTAAATTAGCACAAACCTTTGCCATTTTTAACAGTGCAGGGATTTTCCCGTGGAGCCCTGACCGCTCAGTGAAGCGTGGGCACGTGAAAAGAGAGGTGCTCCGAAGCAGCTGGAGATTGGAGACTTGCTGCAGCTCTGCTAGATGCAAGACTTCTCTGGTTCCCACATCTGCAGCGGAAGCAAGCGTTTATTACGCCTACGAAGAGACTTATAAGAGACTTATGATTTCATATCATAACGATACGAAACATGCGCCATTATCCCCCTGAATTAATTACCCAACTGGAAACAGATGTCAGTTGTCTTGGTGACGGCACTTCACAAAGACAGATGGCTGCCTAGTAAGTCCCGTTTCTATACGTTATCATGAAGAACTGATGTTTGTTTCGTTCTTCCCCTCCCCTTCAAATATATAATTCAGCTGCAGATCTCCAGTTTAATGGTACCGAGAAGTCAGAGGCCGAGAGTCCTCTCCAAGCAAAGGTAATTTTGAATCCTGGGTCGTTACACTCCTCTGAGCTGCACTGCTGCAGATGAGTCTGCTGCCGGAGCAGTGGTGTCACACCGCTGTTCAGCCGTTGCCATCCCGGGTCAGATTTAGGCACGTGAAGGATTTATTATTTTTTGTAGAAGTTCTCAGGACAGCCTTTGATACTACCCAGGCCACTGGAATTTTCATCTCGACTTCACCAGAGAAGCCATTTTTGTCATTAAACTGTTTTCCAAATTCTCATTAGTTTAAGTTCTCATCAGGTGCTAGTACTTTTGGCTCCACTAAAGATAAAAAA